GTAAGCTTAGCAATTTGGTGAATAGCATCTTCATATAAAGTAAGATCTATTTTGTCATCATTTGTGTCTTGAAATAACACTTGAGCAAACCAGTGTGCTTTAGACGGGCTTTGTTATCCCCAAAAGGGGCTTTCGAAAGCTGTGGCATACTGAGAAAATACGTCTTAAGAAATTCATCACAAAGTAAGAAACTAAAAGGTAACTCGTATCACACACGTCGAAGAAAGCAACGAAAGCAAATCGTCGTAAAGAGTTTTCTTGCAGTTGTCGGGAGTTGTCGTGGAAAGCACATGGTGTTGGCGCAATTGTCGTCTCTACTAATACACATTCGATTGGTTCCGAGTGTCATTGGTTGTTTATTTAGGGTCACGAAGAAATTACGAGTGATTATCAATGATATTACCCTCCTGGTACCCAGTAAAGAATGCTTCATGTAATGTGTCACGTAGGAGAAACCTCAGTGAAACTTTATTCGTATGACGTAATAATTTGCCATATATGAAGCACTTACCGGAGGATTTTAGCGTTTTCTCATAGTGTCTGTGCTTCGCACTAGATACAAAAATAACTCATGCACACAATTTGCACGTGAAGATGTTGGTCTTTGGCCCTTTTACAATTCGTACGTAAAAAAAACGCAAATTGTTTACTACAAAATTTCCTCAACGATTTTAAGAAGTCACCTCGGCTTCATTACAACATCTGCAATTAAATTATGTTTCATGCCATGTCAAGGATGATAGCCTACATTTATTAACTTCCAAGAAAATTATCAAACTGCCGAAATATTCTTCTGCTCATATCATGTTACTCCACGCAATAAAACAGTATCTAATTATTGTGTCAACTACAATCACAGACAAAAGTAGTTGGAAAGGTTGTGCAACTTACCAGTAGTCCATTTTAATCCTGAAAAAAGGGAGTTTTCTCTTTTGGTAAATATCCCCCGTCCCCCCTATTCAATGTTGGGATATAACAGAACAATTACGCGTACAAACATTAACGTTTTTATAGAAATTGCTGTGCTAGCGTCGCCTGTCAATCATTCAGTTAATTTGAGAACAGTAAACAACATGGGTGTCCACATTACTCCATCACATTACTCCATAAGAAAATGCAAAATATATGCACAATGAACCGACTTTCAAACGAGAAAAGGGCAAAAACATGTAAACCATGTAAGAATATGGACAGCATTTGTCGCATTTATCTACAGGGATAAATTTAACAACTGTTTCCCAACATTACTCCATTTAAACAGTGCCCCATAAAGGTCAATTAGCAAAGTTAGTTTAATTTTAACGCTATCCATGGAGTAATGTCTTATTTTACTTAGAATTAAGCTAAAATGTCGATGAAAATTCGTTTAGTTAAGTCCTCGCAAAGCCCCGAACAAGTCAATTAGGCTATTTTGTCGTTAGCGCTACTATAAAGGACTTATTTTCGGCTACCAAAATGGAGTAATGTGGTGTGTCATGACTTTGCATGTGTTACCCTTTTCAATTAGATTAACGAAGACAGTAGACGCCTTATTCTAAATCAAGAGCGTACTTTGTTATCGTTTTCTGAAACCAGTTTCGAAAAGTAGTGCCACAAGGGCTCTAACTAGAGATGTTCAGCCGGAGAAAGTGGCCTCTAGAATTGGGCAAATCTCCACTCAGCCTCATAGTTTGCTCGCGTGGCAAATGGGCATGTGCTGAATGTTGCAAAGAATGGGGGAACTGCTAAGGAATATGTCAGCTGCAATGTCGCGATCCGAATGATTTTTTGGGGAACTGGTGAACGCACTATATCTTGCTTTAACATTTGGAGCATATCAGCCTATGCTATAGTCAATAGCTTTTACATCTTACATTTGTATTTTGGCCACTTTCCTGTGCCCCGGACAGAGCAATAGTTGTACTTAAGGGATTGCAAAACATGCCGAATATAAACAGGCGTGTGGGCCAAAGACTGTCTTAACAAGGTACGGCAAATATTTTTTTCAACCGAGTACTGTTTACGAGTGTTTTTTGAAGACGTTTCTACTGACAAAAAGTCGTCGATTTTTTGACCTTTTTCGGCCACACCCAGAATTTTCAGACAATCACAGACAAAAGTAGTTGGGAAGGTTGTGCAACTTACCAGTAGTCCATTTTAATCCTGAAAAAAGAGAGTTTTCTCTTTTGGTAAAAATCCCCCGTTCCCCCTATTCAATAGTGAACTTACGCAACAGGACGGAAGAGGAAAGAAGACGGCAAACCTTGTGTGACAAGCGTGACAATAATTTTGTTTGAAATAACTTTTCGCCAAAATTCACTTTCCTTTAAACAGATCTTTTTGTAAAAGACCAGAAAACATTGATGTTAAGTGAAGATCACGACAAAACACGTAAGAAATAGCCTTGTCACGTTTGTCACACACGAGCGTTCTGCCGTCTTCTTCTTCCTGCCGTCCTGTTGCGTAAACTCACTGATGTTGAGATATAACAGAACAATTACGCGTACAAACATTAGGGCCAGGGGCGGGGGGAGGAAGGAAAAGAAGAGGTAAAAACGGCAACCTTCCCAACACTTTTGACGACGATTGTAGCTTCTTCCAATTTTATTCTCTAACGCTACTGTTTCTACTTAAGTTACTCATCTTTACTAAATAAAATACGTTTCAATAACTATAATGCTTAGTATGCAGGAAGAATGTGTCATGTTGTTCACTTATTATTATTTTTTTGTTTTGCCGGAACGAAAAAGGTCTGTTGAACTTTGTAAGCGAGAGAATGATATTTTCAAAGCTTGTTTACAAGATTAACAATACTCGGTACAGGTTTAAAAAAAATAAGCTGCTTTTCAAACTTGTAAAACTACATTTTATAGGCCGTATACTTTCAAATTAAAGTCCATATCTAAATATCAATTATTGCTTCACTGGAAGAGCTTTGAAAATATATGATCTTTTATACTCTACCTTGAAGCGGGTGAAACACAACTCATAAAAACGACGTAAAACGTGCGTCAGTACCGTTCGCGATAGCCGAATTCGGTCAGAAATGTCTTGAAATAGCATCCACACTAAAATATGAACCCTTAAACAGCTGCACCACTGTACACAGCGTTTGAATCATTAAGATAGTTAATATAATGTTTCCAAACACCTGTAGCCGTAATAAAAGACGAAAAAAGTGTGAAGAATCTCGATGGCGGTCTCAAAGTGCCCTTGTTCGACCTTTAGTAATGTCATGTTTAAGTAGATGCCAAGATCTCAGAGGTTCCTAAGCATCAACTAATAGTACCTTATTGGCTCTTGCAACAAACATCCGAACATACAAAGATACAAAGCCACAAAGATACATACACTCACACCACTGACATATGAGCTATTTTTTCAAAATAGCTCAAACAGGATGTTTTTAAACATAACAACCTCTAAGTGATAGTCGTGAGACAAACAAAAAACGAAACCCTTTAAGGCATCGATTATGTTTTCGCAAATTTAGAAAAGACCCACTTTAGATCGATATAGGCAGAAAAAGTCTGTATATTTCACCTACATAAAGCGGAAAGTTATTCGTTACCTGTTAGACTTTTAGAATTAATCATTCGCTTCTCATTTCCGATTCCGGTAGTTGGAGCAGAAAACACGAAACATCTACCGCTCGCACTTCGCGCTCGAGAAAAAATCTGAGCTCGACTTGTAGGCAAGTCTAGTTACCTGTGAATAATACATATTAAACAAAAAAGAAAAAGACTTCCCGTGAACATCACGCCAAATTATTGATAGATACTGACTGCAAAAAAGGCATTACATAATTTGTGGGTAATGTTGAAATCAGGACAGTCACTGTCCGTTTCACTTCCTTTTACCTTTTACTCCTGGTTGTCTAATTAATTAGTAGGTACCATTAACGTTTCTTAGCCTGACACCATCAAACATATGTAACTGAGAACAAAAAAAGACTGGGGACAATCCTACTATTTTTCTTGAACCGTTTATAGTTGTTCATTTCACTTTTTCCTCGACCTTGGTACTCGAATACAGTGACTTTGTCGCTTTTCTTTTCACACTTTCTGACACTGGTTGCGTTTTCTTAACCTCTTTATAGGACACTAATTTGCTTAGAGCGAGGATTAAAAACTGATCACTCACTCACTCGTTTTGGCGTTAATAACGGTCAGGATTACGTCATTGCGTTGACTCTTCACCCAGTCACTACTTAGCTCACGAAAGCCAGAACACATCGGATGGCCTTAAAGGCCTTAAATTTATAAAAATGTAAGGGAAATGCAACGAAACGTTTGTATCAAATGCCACCCTTTCTAGAAGCAAAGATTCTTAATGCGCAGAATGTACGTGAGCTCAGTAGTAACAGACTTTAAATACCGATAGCATCATAGTTATTAGAGGAGACTGGTTATGAAAAGCGGCAAACATCAATGATAAAAACAACAGTGCTGCAGTTTATGTTCAAAGCACCGTGAAAGTGCACAATCCTTTGTTTTCTGTTGGCAAATTGTTACGGAATAAATTAATGCAACGTTTTTATTGGTCAATACAATCAAAATGATAGGAATTCTTTTGAACGTTGTGCACTTTCAGGTCCACAAAAACATATAACAAAGGAGTCTGACGGGTTTCATAACCATTCCACTCAATTAACTATGATAGCATCAAAACCTTTATTTCCAGCGGCTGGATTATGAAAATTCTGTTAGTCACAAGAAAATGATACTGTAAATCAGATTTCTTTTTATTACTTAGCACAAAACAAAAGCACTGCCAGTTGCATTGAGTCTACAGAAACCTATAGAACTTTACACGACTATAAATTATCTTACGGTCAGCATACAGACCGATCGAAGCTCTTTTAACGGATTTCGTTTTGATCTTTCATAATTCTAAAAAGGTATCAGAGAATTGAAAATCAATTAGTGCATGGCTAAATAGGGTGATGTGATGTAACTTTGGTATACCACTTTTATGGTGTAAGTTTATTGGTAAATTGGCTCGCGAACTGTTGCACACGTTCATTTTTTCCCTTTTTCTCGGCAACAACTGGTCATAAGTCCTGGTTCTCTGCAGTCTTGCCAGTTGCCTTTACATCCGACAAACCAGAAGGTTGTCCCACTTCCGTAGCCAGAATCACGAAAACCTTCATCACGGCAGTGGCAACTCGTTCGGCTAAATAATTCGTGTAACCGGTCTAAAGAGGAAATAACAAAACATAAATAAGCTTTATATTCACATGAAAATAAAATAGTTAGAGGAGTACGAGTGTGGCCAAAATGATGATGAAGTTCATGATGGAGGTGTGATGATGGTGTTTGTAGTGGTTTCTCACGCTGGGAAATCTCGGTGATTTGCAATAGGCCTCAAAATGCTAGCATGTTGTAGCGCACAGTGTTTCTTGGCAAAATACGTTGGTTACCGGATAGAACAATTATTATTTTCCTACCTCCGCTTTTCACCAATTCATTGTAGGCCTAAAAAAGAAATAAAAACAGCTGGTTGGGAAAGAGTATTTTCCAAATAGATGCTATCTGTTTATCAAACAGGGAGGGAATAATAAATGTAAGGAGGAGATGTATAATGGATCCTGCATGTGTAGGTGGGTCATGTATAACCTGAGATCAGGCTCTATTTTCGTTTCGCTTTTAGAGAGAATGTATAAGAACCGCTAAAATTGGGCCTGATCTCAGGTTAGTCATGATACCGCCTATCCCCTACTAAACAGTCTACTGTTGTGTAAAACTCTGAAGAAAATGGTAAGGAAATGCTTTGCTGGTGTAAGAACCAGGTAATCGTTTTCTAGCAATTTGTAGGAAACCCGTGGGATAATTGATATTTCAGAAGCCGCGATGAAAAGCAGTGTTTATTTGTCTAGATAAGCTTTAAAGCTCCTCTCAATGCCACTTAATTAACTCCGTCCGTTGGATCATTAAAGGGAAATAAGGGACGGACCATTAGAAAACTTATGGGGGGCGGGCGAAGTACAAAAAAAATATTCGCGCAAGGGAAAATTAAATGAAAAAAAATTCATGCACGCCAATTAACCCTAAAAAATATTCATGCAATGGCTTAAATAAAATTCATGCAAAGAATTTGATAACGAAAAAAAATTCTTGCAGCTCGAAAATTCCCCTCCCCCCCATAACTTTTCTAATGGTCCGTCCCTAATCTCAGACCGAGACCTTGATGTATTGACAAAGCGATAGCGAGGGCAACACATCAAGGCCGATGTCTGAAATTTCCCTGTAATGACCGAATTAACGAAGTTAATAAGTTACTTATTATATGGCCTTTTTTAGCGCTATTCTTAAAAAGAATACCAGAACACCGGAAGTAATTTTCAACACCCGCCTGGACGCGCAAGAGGTTTTCCTCGCTTAAACTAAAGAGGTATCGGTAAGACATAGTATTTTTGTCGCGTTCCCACGGGTGGAGTTCGCTGTGATCAACCACACGCTCCGTACTCGATTAAAGTTCGTTTATTGCAGTATCAATGAAGCATATGGTGACAACTGAAAACATACATAGACACGCGTTACGCAAGAAAATACAACTAAAATTAAAAGGAAATCGAGAGTAAAAAAAACCGAAAATGAAAGACAAAAATGAAACAGAACTTACGTTATAGTTCCTCCAAGCGTATTAAAGAAAGGAACAACAAAATAGGAAAAAACTGAATGAAATAACTCCGTGAAAAACTCCTTATACTCTCCGATAAGATCTGGTAAAAACTCCCAGGCTAGACAACTGTGATAATAATGATATATGTCAAACTGGTAAAAAATTAACGAATTAAACAAAAATACAAACGAGCGTAACGCAATATACGATTTCACAACAATTTTTCTTTCGGTTATTGAATAGATAGTTACATGTATATTTTGTCAGTATTTTTTGTTGGTTTCGTCTTCGCGCTCGTGGGTTTTACTCACAACTCAAAAGAACCCTCGAGCCGTCGAAAAATTTCCATAATGCCTGGTCGATTACAAGAAAATCTTGCCCTCTCAGCAGCCAGCCAATCAGAGGGCGCGTACTATTGTAGCCATATAATAATGACGAATTACGAAACATAGGCCTGGGAGAGTTTCATAGTAAATATTTCTACCCAGTCTTACTTTCGAGAATGACAACTGACCTCATGATTGTTATAATGGGCAGCAACTCGAGCATTTACGTCAACAAAGAAAACGGCGGCTATTGCCATGGCAAGTAGAAACAACTTGGCCGTGCTCATTCTTGAATCTTCTGCAGAAGAAAAAAAAAGGAGTGATGAATGATACATGGTTGGTCTCCATTTAGTCCAGCTACCCGAGAGTTTCTTTCTAACTAGGCTAGTTAAAAAAAAAAAATTAAAATTTGCCTTCCCTAAAATCCATACCCAATACCAAAACTGCACATACATACTTTGCTTCAATGGGGTTTCCCCGTGGGGACGCATGCGCAGTTCATGGCATGCCTTAGAGGGTCTCAATGGGTTTAACCGTCAACTCCTATTAAAACTGCCTAAGGTTAACTCGTTAGCCTTCGAAAAAGGTAATTTTTTACCATCAACCGTCAAAAGTGCAGATTAATATTAACCGAACGAAGCAAGCTTAAGGCTAGCAAACTTGTGGCCGGGTGTGCTTGTGTTCTTTCTTTACACGAGTGGACCAGGACCAACACAATCAACCGGCACAAGCATAAGCAACAAAAAAAATCCATCTTTTCCCCCCGGGGGGGGTACTTTGGGAATTTCTGGGTGGGGATGTGCCGCTGGGAGGCTGGAACCCTTAACCTTTACCAGAGCTAGTTTAGCTGAATTTTGCTACCCTATACTAGAGTAAACTCCCCAAATCCCCCTATCCTAGAGTAGCAGGGTACCTAGTCTAGATAAAATCTTCAACCAACTGATCAGTTTCCTGAAAAATGATACCCTATTCTAGACCCAAACGCTCTGATTTATATACCCTATCCTAGAGTAAACTGCTTGAAAACCATACCCTTCACAGCGGCACATACCTATATAGCCCATATATGGCAGTACCCCCGGGCTTTTCCCGCCTTTTCGGTTTCCTTTAATTTTTAAATATTTTAGCGCTAGCATTAGAGGCGCCAAAATCAGTTTATGCCTCACGGCCTGTAAATATTACCTTCATGCGCCTATAACAAGTGACATACTTGTGCTTTTGATACAGAAGTAAAGTACATTAAGACGACGGTATGCGCTCGCAAAGCCATTAGGAAATTTTGGCGCCAAAAATGTAAAATGTTACGCGAACTGTTCCATTTATACGAGCATGTCTTATCTAATAAGGCGCGTCTTAGCTAAGCTGCGTCTTATTTTAGACGAAATGTGCCGTTTATCCGGAAAGTTCGCGTCTTATTTAAGACGCGTCTTATGTAAGACGCGTCTTATTTTTCCTCGTATAAATGGCCCTAATGAGTCACAGTAGAATTAATCCCCGGAGACAACTTCCATTGACATTTTGTTTCAATTTCTGTTATTTTTTCTTGATGAACCGAGTCGGCCACTTACTGACACCACACTTTTAGAAAGGCGCGCAATTTCTTTCGCGTAAGTTAATCAGTTACGCGTTGAGCGTTGATATACCAACGTTTAAACCAGACTGGAACATTAAACTTTTGTTATAAAAGCAAAGAGGTCGCTGAGTAGAAACTAATCTGTCCCACAGTTTTCCGTTTCATTCGTGTACGTTCATTTTGATGGGGCCTGTATGATGAATTTACTTCGCGTACGTGAATAACATTGAGATAAAACATTTCTTTTTGCTTTTGTGGAGTAGATTCATCCAAAAAAGTCAAACCGGCAAACTACTTTTTTCGCGTACTTGTAAAAATGAGCGTTTGATATGTGGCGCTAACGCGCGAAAATTTTCTTGTCGTGTATTAGATTTCAGTATATATACTGTTAATCTTGATTTCGCGCCAGAATAAATTAGTTTGAGCGCAAAGGGCTTCTAAAAAACCACAAGATTTCCCACTTCGAGTCCAACTTCTGGAGATACGCCGGCTTGGTAGATGGAATACATTGCCGAGGCGAAGATCTTGCATTTTTTCCTCCTCGTCGTTTTTTTCCCACGACTTTTGTTTCTATTTGTAATGAGATGCAGTGTATGAAGGCCCGTTCTGGTCAAAATTGCATGATTAATTTTTCCCTCTTGATGAATTAATTTGAGTACCTGCTATTAATATTTTGTCTGTTTGTAATTATTTTTTCCTATGCCTGTAATTATTTTCGTGTTCTTTTTAACTTTCCCATGCGTCACAATTATTTTTTCCTCACCAGGAATTAATTTTTTTATGTGCCGTCTTTATTATTACGCTTCTTTGAAATTATTTTTGTCCATTACACAAATTATTTTACGGCTGCGGATTAGTTTTTTGTCTGCTATGATAATTTTTTTTGGATAATTAATTGATTTTGTCCTACGCAACTCATAATACAATGATAATTTAATTTCTTCCATTCGAGAATTATTTTTTTCTTAGTCATAATTATTTTTTCGCAGTTTTGGCAAATGTCCCATAAGCCTCTGCGGTAATGCACCTAAAACAAACATGGCGGCTCGTAGTCGTCGGTCACGCCCGGTGGTGTTACGAGAGAGAAATGAACGTGGGTTCGCGCTTTTCTTACAGAATCTAAAAAGCGTTCTTAAGAGGCCCTGACTGTAAATATCGAGAATCCGCCGACAGTTGCAAAATTTCATAATCTATTTTATTCTACCTGAAAGACCCTTTTGGTGAACTATTTTCCAAATGTATTAAAAGATTGAGCGACCAGGATAAAGACTACTGACAATTAAGTGAATAAACAAACAGAAAACTTACGAATCGAGTAAGACAGGCCAGGAAAACCTCTTCAGCTGCAAATCAAATCAGACTCACGGCCAGCGCCTACTTGCAAATGAACATCTTTCAGAAGATACGCGTCTGTATATGTGGCTCTTATTATGTATAAGAATGCTATTGTTTTTCCGGTAAGAACGTCGCTATTGGCTGTTTTGGTAAGAAACTATAATAAGCGGATTTTTGCTTCATCAAATGAACTAATTATAATTTCTTTAATTTGCAGACAGCTTCTAGTGGTAGACCGACTTAATTACTATGCTTTTGTTTCCCCACTTAATGCTCCTTCTAAATTCTCCATTTTTCCCACTAAACTTTGTGCACGGTCGCCTCCGACTAAAATGCTCGATAATGCTCATCATATCCGGAGAGTCTTTTCTTAAAATCAATTCTATTAAATTAAAACGTTTTAGGGAGTTTAAGGCTGACAAAAATGTGTAAGTGGTATAATTATCCTGGGTGGAATTTTGCCCATTATGTTTTGGAAATAATGCACTCAGATAATGTTGCTTTAAAGTCTCGATAATTTAAGCGAACTGTGCGTTTGGCCGGGAGATTTTGGAACTTCTAGAAGTGGATGTACTTGCCACAGTATATTATTTTTAGTACTGGGATTAATTGAAGTTGACCTAGAGATATGTACTTTCTTTCCCTCAGTTTGCAAGAAGCTTTTAGCGCTTTGATTTTGACACTCTGGTGGCAAACAAAGGCCACACAATCTGTGTGTGTAGTCGATTGTTATTTTGACTTGCGGCAGGTGAAAAAAGTATTCTCTGATAATGTTAACAGAATTCCCGCCATAGTGCCCCTTTAACAACTGATTTAGTGATTAATTTCCAATGAAAGAGCCCCTTTCTGAGTTAAGCGAATAATTCATCTTTTGAGAAAATCGTGTTATTGTATCTGCCCTAGATCTTGATCGGAAAGTAAATCCGTGAATTTCTGTTGACTAAGCAACATTCCAAATGTATTAAAAGATTGAGCGACCAGGATAAAGACTACTGACAATTAAGTGAATAAACAAACAGAAAACTTACGAATCGAGTAAGACAGGCCAGGAAAACCTCTTCAGCTGCAAATCAAATCAGACTCACGGCCAGCGCCTACTTGCAAATGAACATCTTTCAGAAGATACGCGTCTGTATATGTGGCTCTTATTATGTATAAGAATGCTATTGTTTTTCCGGTAAGAACGTCGCTATTGGCTGTTTTGGTAAGAAACTATAATAAGCGGATTGTTGCTTCATCAAATGAACTAATTATAATTTCTTTAATTTGCAGACAGCTTCTAGTGGTAGACCGACTTAATTACTATGCTTTTGTTTCCCCACTTAATGCTCCTTCTAAATTCTCCATTTTTCCCACTAAACTTTGTGCACGGTCGCCTCCGACTAAAACTGCTCGATAATGCTCATCATATCCGGAGAGTCTTTTCTTAAAATCAATTCTATTAAATTAAAACGTTTTAGGGAGTTTAAGGCTGACAAAAATGTGTAAGTGGTATACCGGTAATTATCCTGGGTGGAATTTTGCCCATTATGTTTTGGAAATAATGCTGACTCAGATAATGTTGCTTTAAAGTCTCGATAATTTAAGCGAACTGTGCGTTTGGCCGGGAGATTTTGGAACTTCTAGAAGTGGATGTACTTGCCACAGTATATTATTTTTAGTACTGGGATTAATTGAAGTTGACCTAGAGATATGTACTTTCTTTCCCTCAGTTTGCAAAAAGCTTTTAGCGCTTTGATTTTGACACTTTGGTGGCAAACAAAGGCCACACAATCTGTGTGTGTAGTCGATTGTTATTTTGACTTGCGGCAGGTGAAAAAAGTATTCTCTGATAATGTTAACAGAATTCCCGCCATAGTGCCCCTTTAACAACTGATTTAGTGATTAATTTCCAATGAAAGAGCCCCTTTCTGAGTTAAGCGAATAATTCATCTTTTGAGAAAATCGTGTTATTGTATCTGCCCTAGATCTTGATCGGAAAGTAAATCCGTGAATTTCTGTTGACTAAGCAACATTCCAAATGTATTAAAAGATTGAGCGACCAGGATAAAGACTACTGACAATTAAGTGAATAAACAAACAGAAAACTTACGAATCGAGTAAGACAGGCCAGGAAAACCTCTTCAGCTGCAAATCAAATCAGACTCACGGCCAGCGCCTACTTGCAAATGAACATCTTTCAGAAGATACGCTTCTGTATATGTGGCTCTTATTATGTATAAGAATGCTATTGTTTTTCCGGTAAGACTCGCTATTGGCTGTTTTGGTAAGAAACTATAATAAGCGGATTGTTGCTTCATCAAATGAACTAATTATAATTTCTTTAATTTGCAGACAGCTTCTAGTGGTAGACCGACTTAATTACTATGCTTTTGTTTC